TTTATATTGAAAATATACACCCACAATTTGAAACCACACAACTTATTTAAATGCAAATAGTCTTTCTAAACACAACCCTTGAATTATTAGATTTGATGTTATAGAAAAGAATGCTGACCTTAAAAATTTTCATTATTTCATAGTTTATTGTAATAATAAATCCACTATAATAAGAAAATAAAAGTTAAACCTAAATAATTTTTTTCTGTGGTTTTGAACAATATAAATAGTTTTGATAAGACACAAATAACAGTTGTGATGAAAAAATGCAACTATTTATATTGAAAAGAGACAACCATTTATAATAAAAAGAAGCAACCATTTATAATGAAAAGACGCAACCACACATTTTCAAACGACACAACCTTGTAAAGGGTAAATGGCATTTATTCAGATATTTATGTTTTGTAAGTGACATTGATTCGGATAGTTACCAGTTTTGTCACCGGTCACCATTATAGTAAGAAAATAAAAATCAGACCCAAATAATTATTATAGATAGATAAAACGTACATTTAAAAGATAAAAAAAATGGTTGGTTTAGTAGAAAAAAAAACACAACCCTTGAATTATTAGATTTTATTTCATATAAAAGAATGCTGACATAAAAAACTTTCATTATTTCACAGCTTATTGTAATAATAAACTCATTATGGTAAGAAAATAAAAGTTAAACCTAATAAACCTATTATAGTAATAAAGTAAAAGTTAGACCCAAATAATTTTTTTCTGTGGTTTTGAGCGATATAAATAGTTTTGAAAAGACACAAATTATAGTTAATGAAAAGACGCAACCATTAGTAATGAAAAGATACAATCACAAATTTTGAAAAGACACAACTTTTCGAAGTGCAATTGGCATTTATTCAGATTGTTATTATATATAGATTAGTTATTTTAATACAAAATTTTTAATAAATTTTAAAAAGAGCAATTTAAAATTTAATATATGAATTAATTTTTGAATTTTTAATTATTTTTATAAATATTTTAATTATTTTATAATTTATTTAATATTTTTTGAAACGGATCGGATATCCGGTCAAAAATCCGGATTTTAACGGATATCCGAATACCGGATATCCGATTTATAACGGAGCAAATACAGATCAAAAATTTGTTGATTCGGACGGGGCGGAGCGGATCACGGATATCACTAAAATTCCAGATATCCGCTCCGTGCCCAGTCCAATGGGTACTAGTTGACAACTTTTGGTTTTGAGCTATTTTGTTTACATGGGAACGAAGATAAATATATGTTTTAAAATATTGAAAAAAGTCAGATATATGAAAGTCAAACCTTTGTAATTTAAAGAAGTCAACGGTGATCTTTGGTTAGCATCACTACTTGTGTATATATATCTAAAAGACATGTTTAGCTGTTTTAGGACAAAGACAAAATCAAGTGAAAGACTGGTTTAACACTCTCAAAGAGACAGACAAGTTTATGGAGACATATTCAATTCCCTGTGACAAGTAACAATGACTCCAAGAGCCCTACCAAAAATTAAAGGAAACAAAAATATACAAACAACGACTCTTCGTTGATAAGAAAATATAGTATGCAGTTATCAGTGACATGAACGATCTTAACTTCAGGAACTGATCAGGATGAATCATATTAGAAACATATATTATCTTGTACACGTGCCAGAAACATATTAGATCAACCTATCTAACTCGCTGTCTTCGAAAAATAAAATCATAATGTAGGAAGTATATGAACCCTGTGAGTGTTTTGCCACCTTAGAATCACTCCTCGATCTCTAAATTAAGAGTTAGGGTGAGTTGGTTGACTCGAGCCATGATCAAGGATACGGCCGTTGGCTAGGACGAGTCTGATTTTTTAGGCCTCATATCAATATCATGAGTCATGACCAGGTGAAATAGAGAAAATCGTTTGACGCATGAGTACAGACAATTTATTTAGGACAAAGTCACTTGGGATGAAAGTTTCTGAATAGGATTCTTTTGATTTTTTTTTTTCTCGCTAACAAATACAGTTTCTCACAAATACCCTCTCCAAGAAAAAAAAAACCCCGATAATCCCAATCAAAAAAAAAGTTCATGAAAAATGAAAGATAAACAACAACGCGAAGCATTTCGATTGATGTCAATCAGCAGCGACAGTGACAACGTACAATAACGGATCCGTTAGGTCTCCGTTACTTTGCGCTGTTATCACCACATCGACGCTTTCACTGCACGTTAGCCTTCTGGCTCTCTTTGCTTCTCCTTCCCAATCTGTAGTAGCCACGACATAGAGCATCATCGCAGCACAGCATACCTGAGCCGCGAAAAGACCTATCCAAAGCCCGCAAAATCCATACGCGGCCCAAAACGTTAGCCCAACCGCTACAGGCGTTCCAACGAGGTAAAACGCACCTAGGTTTATGTTCGCCGCCTTGGCCGGCCGAGCGGTCCCTCTAACCACCCCGCAGCCTACCGTTTGCGGGCAGTTACCGAGCTCGCAAAGCCCGAGAATCGGTAACGCAGCCGCGGTTAATTGGATGATATCGACATCGTTTGTGAAAATCCGTCCCCAGAAGTCGCTTACTCCCCAAGCAAACGCAGACGCGGTCATACCCATTACTCCGGCAAAGGAAACCGCCACAATGGCTGATAGCCTCGCTGTCTTGGGGCGGTTTGACCCGAGTTCGTTACCGACGCGGGTGGAGACGGCCAACCCTAACGACGATGGGAAAATGTAAAGCAACGACGTCGTTTGGATGAGAATGCCCATTGCTGCGACTGGAGTTTCAGGGTTCATGAGTAGACCACAAAGAACGGTCATGATCTCGTACCACCACCACTCCAGGCATACGCCCACGCAGCTCGGTATGGCCAGGCAGATCAGTGGGGCCCAGTCCTTGAAACATTCTGAGCTGGGGCGAGTCCACGTTGGGCCGTGTAGACCTTTGACCCAAACGTAGACCACAAGGAAAACGACAACGAAGAAATTTGATGCGGCGGCAGCCACTGAAACGCCTACGAAACCCCATCCGAGGTAAGAGACGAGGAGAAAGTTGATGGGTATGTGGAAGATGGTGCCGGCGAGTGTTGCGAGGGTTAAAGGGCTTGTGATACCTTGTGCTCGAAGGTATATACGAAGAGGGTGGAGAAAGGAGTTGGTGAGCAAATCAGGAATAGAGCAGAGGATGTATGTTTGGGCCAACGACGAGATACTTGGATCTTGATGGAGATTGATCATGATCTTACCCAAGTTGAGCCATACAGCGACGATTGCTAGCGAACTGGTGAGTAAGAAAAGCACGGTTCGTTGGAGAGTTAGTGAGAGGAGTTTTGGCTTCCCGGCTCCAAAGGCTTGAGAACAGAGTGGGTCCATGCCGAGTGCAAGGCCTGAGAGAACGGAGTAGCCAGTGATATTGGCGAAGGCAATGGCCAAGGAGCCACCAGCGAGCTCTAGTTCGCCGATATGGCCGAGGAAGAGCATGGAGATGGCGGAGCGAGCGTAGAGGATGAGGGCGGCGAGGATTGTGGGGAAGGCTAAGGAGAAGAGAGACTTTGCCTCTGTTGTAAGCTCAGAGATTGGCGGGAAAAAGCGGGCAGGGTTTTGCTTTTCAAGGTCTATCATCGAAACAAGATTTGTCTCACTGTTGGTGATGATGGTGTTATGGGTTTCCATTTGTCTGTGAAATAGAACACAAAGAAGATAAGAGTTGACAGATTTATTTGTCGGACGACGTCTGAAGCATAAGTGTTCAGTTTATATATACACACAGAGATTGTCAAATATATATGTGCATCACGTCGAAAGGGAAGTCGTCAAAATGTAAAAGTCAAATATTTTTTTAAGAGAATGACATTAATATTAACATATTTAACTATTTGTTGTTGGCATTTCATGAGAGCAAATGTAGAAAAGTTAAAACAATTTTTGCAAATAAATCTGTGAATCTTATCCTTGAAAATCTGGTGCAGCAATTTGTAGAACAACACGTGACATTTCTATTAGTAATTGTTATTAGATAGTGACATATAATTTCAAAAATGTTAATATTTTTTCAAAATATGCTAATTTAAGGTTTTTATTTTAAATATTTTATATGTAACATTTATTTTCATTTGTCTTATAGAGTAAATGGTAAAGTGGAGTGAGATTTGTATTTTCCAGCAGACTAGATTTTGTTATTTCCTATTTTTTTCACATATCCTCATTTTTAAGATATGTTTCCTTTTTTCCCTAACTATCCTGTACAGTATTTCTTAATTTCCCACATTTCACCCATTTAACTTTTTTTCCCTTAAATTTCCCGATTTCCCCCGTTTCCCCACATGTAACTATCCTGTCTTGTGATTGTGAGGCTTGACAATACTACAAGAAAGAAAAGAAAAGAAAAACGTTATGAAGCTACTCAAATGTGGTAGCTCAATGCTTAGCGTTTTTAGCGTGTAGACAATTCTATATCAGTAAACGAAAATGAAAAAAATCTCTTAAATTAGTTTTCTTTTGTCTTTCTTAATTACCACAAGTAAACTTTAGTAAGAGTTCCGAAAAGATTACAATCCAACGTAATTGGGGTTATCAGATAAATTAAAAAATATGCAAACATATTTGAAGTATTTAAAGAAAACAAAAGAAAAAAAAACAACCCTTTAAAATGGCTCATCTATAACAATAATACAATTGATAAAGATCGAAAACACAATATCCAGTTCGAAAGTAATACTATGACAGTTCTAACAGCAGTTTTGACAAAAGGTGTTAAGAAAACAAATATTTTTTGGACCATTTGCCGCTTAACGACGTGATTTGATGAGTTGCGACTTCTCTAGGAACAGATATTCCGAGAGGAGTGATATGGCACCTATTTTTTTTACCACATATTATAATATATTGCTTGATTAAGAGCTTTGATGAAAATATCATAAAGCTGCTCTTGAGTTCTAACATGAAATATTAAAATTTAGACAACATTACAAACTGTTGGATTATTTGTCGTACGAGCCAATCTATTGGATGGAATACATATTATTCAGCTTGAATTCACAGCTACTTCTGTTGGACCAACTTGTCTCATCAACTGGCAAACAAAGAAAATAAGCTAAAATTGGATCCAACTCTAAATCACAATATCAAATTTTGCAACAAATATATAGTTGAATATACGATAACTCGCGTGTGAGCACAGAAACCATAAGTTATTAAGAGTCATTTAATTTAACAATTTAATTAACCTGGAAATAAGTCTCAAACTTTGCGCGGAGTTCACTGTGCTCCTTCTTAATACCACGCAGTGCTGCTTTCAATCTTCAAAGTAAAAATGTAATTTTCAGAATTATGTAACGAAAAACATTTTCATATATAAATTAATTTAGATGTCTAAATTAAACCTCTTATGTATTTGATATTATAGCATGTAAGAGAATTGAAGTAGTAAATCGGAAAGAACGTACGTACGTACCCTTCTATGTTGCCAGCTTGGAGAAATGAGCTTGCTTTGTTTAGTTCACTATTAACTTTGATGGCTCCGATGCTGAATGAAAAAGAAAAATCAGCATTTATCTAAATTCTTAGTGTTAAAAATTCTTGATCTAATGTACTTTTTAACCCAAATTACAAAATAATATCACTAGCCTGGCGCTGCTGCTTTTTAACCGATGAATGCATTTGGTAACCTTGGGTACCTCTATTGGCTCTTTCCCCCTGTTTAGCAAATTATCAATATATATATTACATATTTTATATGGATTTTGCTTTTATCAAATGAATAAATCCATCAAATGGAGAAAAGGATGTAACATTTATATTTATAACTTGTGAACAATTCCGTTCCTATCACAATTGTTTTACTTTGTATAAAGATCCGTAAATGATGTGTTCTACATCTTGCATTTGTGCCATCTACTCTTAGTAAATTTTGTGTGTATCTCAATACACACACACATATACAAAATCTAACTCTCTAGTCTCTATATTTACAAATCCAGCAATTGACAATAAGTATATTGACCCAAATTTCATATATACTATTCAAATTCCCTCCAACTTCCAACGTAAGATATTTTTTTCACACAATCTCTATTGAGGCATTCCATGGATATAATATGAAACGGGATTTTGTATGGAGGGAGATAGGGAACTCACAGTTGATGCTTCAGATCAGCAATAACAGTAGGGGAATCTCTGAAATAGAGTGTTATTACTTCTACAATAAAATTATGGTTTCTGTCTTTCTCCAAGGCCTCTATCTGAGTATACTGACAACCTAGGTATCCCTGCGTCAATATTTATTCTAAATTTGTATATAACGAAGAGCTTAATGTGCTGCTATCCACAGGTATTCAAAATAAATAAATAAAATCAACAAAATTGCTCTGCGTCGATAACTCTGTATAAGTTTGAAATATACTAACCTCGTCAAAGAAAGATTGTCTCATTTCTTGAAGTTTTAGATGCAGGGCTTTGATATCCATTTTAAAAAAAAAAAATATTTGTTCGGAAAAAAGTTTATGCAAAATACAGAAAATAGTAGAAGGTAATATATATGTAGTTGCAGAGACACAAATCAATATTTTTATATAGTAATAAAGTGAAAGCATAAAATTGTAATCTAATGAGAAAATCTTGAGCATCCTCTTGTTGATCAACATTTGCAACAAAAAAAACTGTATATTTGCTTGAAGCAAATAAGATGATTTTGTAAAAAAAAAGTTTATATTAATCGTATTCGATTAATATTTTTATTTTATTTAGAGATTATATGAACATGTTTTCTATAATACTTTTACAAATTGTATCTTCTATGGTGTTTGGATGCAATGGATCTTAAAATCTGAGTTATTAAGAAAGTGTAATATCAAATCTTGAGAAATAAATACGTAATCTGTAAACAATAATTTTTTAAAAAAATATATCCTTGTCCAAAATTGGGCTACGTGCTAATCGGCCGGTCTCTGGACATAGTACCTAGTCGGCTAGTCCTTTAGGCAGAATTTTTGATCCGATTATTCAAAGAGATAAATGACAAAATAACATAAAAAGTAAAACTATATAGATTTTTAAAATAAAAAAAAAAACTAATATCTACCTCAGTAGTTATCAAACTATTATTCACCTATGTTACAAAGTCATATATATGGCTATTCTTTTCAGTATTTGAGTAACTGAGTTTCATGGGTGGCTGTACGACACAATTTCTCAGAATTTTGTTTGTATAATTTGTAAATCAGATATAAACAAATAATACAACAAATAAATAAACAAGTATTGATGGAAACAACAGTTCACGAGAAGAGTGTTTGTCCCTACCAAAAGCCAACAAGAAAGGAAATAAAGAGAGAGAGTCACGGGCACTGAAAGACAACATCAATTGATAGAATAAACTGCTGCCACCTTGGTTAAATTGTGCACAAAAGATTTTCGTATTTTATACATCAAACTTTTAATGTGCACCTCTCAGTGGACTCATCATCGATTCAGTGATTCACCCTTGCGATATACTTTATCTTTAGTTCATAAATATTTTTGGATGGTGGCAGAAGGCAGTATGCGGGTTTGGTACGCAGCTATGCAAACAACGGAAAAGAATGTTATCCACAGCCATATATTAAAAACATTTCTTTTATTGAAATGTATATTGCTAATATATAAACTGTTATGTTTGCCTTTATATCATTTACAACCATATCAAGTGAAATAATCAACTTTTTTATTGAAATAATGAGAAACTAGCATATAACATGTGAATTTTTCTATAGCATGTTATTTTTTTTTAAATGAATTAATGTTTAATTTATTATATTAATGTTTACTATTTTTTTGTTAAAGGGTTTTTCTTGTTTACTATTAAAATTCGGATTTCAAGTTTAAGGTTTATGCTTTAGCTTTGTTGGGAGTAATATGTTATGGTGTAGCTTATGTAAATAAGAAATGTCTTAAATATATTAGTCATCAACACAATTTGGTGTCCAATGATTAATCCGATGCGATGGGAACGAAAGAACTGTCCATGTTACTTTCATGCTATTTGTGTTAGTTTCCATTTTATCGACCAAACTTAGTTTTTTTTAGCTCTGGTACACAACACATCTCTCCTATATTGTCCACCTTTTCTCACTTATTGCAACTTTCATTGACTAAATATGGTTATAACTCGTGATTAGCTTTTGTTGCGCGGTATAATTAAAATAAGAAATGAGTATCACATCAATGTGGGTTAGATTTCTTTTTTTCAATTTTTTTATGGTTTGTTTTTTCCTTTGTGGGTTGGGTTTCTATAAGTAAATAATAGAGTCTCATTGTTTTTATAATTTGGCATTTTGCTAGGCCTCTCATTCTACGTGGCTGTGAGTGGAACCACCCCGTGACCTCTTCCCTTCTGTCTCTTTTCACCTAATTCCATTACCGAAGTACCAAACACTCGACCACCTCAAACAACAACACGCATACACGTATATATACATATATGCCTATTGAGAAATCACATAAGCCATATATTATTATTTGCCGTACTTTGTATCTTTGGCGAAACCCGAAAAAACAAAAAAAAAAACCACGCTTATATTTTGTAAATTGATCATTCTTGTCTTATAGATGCCCAAATTCAATTCATTTCAAGCTCCCATTTTATATTTCCTCCTCCTCGTTATCCTTCTTTGTTCAACGCAAACACAATGTCACACCAAAGGTCTACGGTTACGACCAAGAAACCAGAAGAATGCGAACACGACGAGTCAGTCACAAAACCCGGAAGAAGAATTCATGAGATGGGTTAGATTCGTTGGGAGCCTTAAACACTCTGTGTTCAAGACAGCCAAGAACAAACTCTTCCCTTCATATACACTCACTGTCCATAAGAAACACAATAAAGGTGACTTCACTAAAATCCAAGACGCCATTGATTCTCTCCCTCTCATCAACCTTGTTCGTGTTGTCATCAAAGTCCATGCCGGAGTTTACAAGTAAGCATAATTAGTCTCTCTTCGTCTACATTAGTTTACATCGCAGCTCCAACTATCATGTCTAATTTTTTTTTTTTTTTTTTTTTTTTGAATATGGGCTAACTATCATATCTGAATTTCGGTGTAATTAATTACATTTTTCAAAACATAATTTGGTCGACAAGATATTTATTAGGTTGATCTTGCAGGGGTACTATATAAATAAATAAATAGATAGTGCGTGGTACATTTTTGCAATTGATCAATCCCAAATTGGTACCACATCTTATGTAGATTAATATTCATCTTTTATTTCCAATGAGTGGCTGTAACTATATTCCAACAGTGTGAACCGTAGATTCTGGAGTTTTGTCTATATACATTTTGAAATTTTGCAATTTGTTTCCGCTCTATTTAAGACGCAGGGTGATACCGCCATATCTTTTCTTTTCGTCCTTTCCTTTGCATCTGCATGAGCCAAAATTAATTATGAATGAGTCTAAACACGTATTGCCAATAAAGAAATGGAACAATCAAATGATCTCTCCCTTAAAATCAACGCTATATGATCACGTGAACTCGGAATTTTGTAATATATGTGTTAAAAAGGTGGAGTATATGTAATATGTATATAATAATCTCTTAGGAAATGGAAATTTATAGTGACATTTTTTGGGTATTATCGAGTTATAAAGCGTCATGGGGCCACATACACTCCACACTTATACCATCCATAGTTTTATAACGTTTATTTCATACTATAGCTTATTCTAAGCAATAATAATAATGAAAAAAATATTAGGGAGAAGGTGAACATACCCCCAATGAAGGCATTCATAACAATAGAAGGAGAAGGAGCAGATAAGACAACAGTGGAGTGGGGAGACACAGCACAAACACCTGACTCAAGAGGCAATCCCATGGGCACCTTCAACTCCGCCTCTTTCGCCGTCAATTCCCCTTTCTTTGTCGCCAAGAACATCACTTTCAAGGTCACTTCTTGCTACCATATAGTTGCTGTGTGTGTTCAATTCTATTTGGACGGGTGAGTTTTGAATCCATCTTGTTGTATGTATGTAGAACACGACCCCGGTCCCCTTACCGGGCGCGGTTGGAAAACAAGCGGTGGCATTGAGAGTGTCAGGGGACAATGCTGCGTTTTTCGGGTGTAAAATGCTTGGTGCTCAAGACACTCTCTATGATCATTTGGGAAGACATTATTACAAAGACTGTTACATTGAGGGATCTGTTGACTTCATCTTTGGCAATGCCCTCTCTCTCTATGAGGTATATTAAACATTTTCTTTCACCTAGGATGCTCTCTGCTTCTCGATTAGCAAACATTTTAGATTGTTCATTGCTCTAAAAAAAAGAGGTGGTGTTTAATTAGGGGTGCCACGTGCATGCGATAGCGGATAAGCTAGGAGCAGTGACGGCGCAAGGGAGGAGCAGTGTGCTAGAGGACACAGGATTCTCGTTCGTGAAGTGTAAAGTGACAGGGACAGGGGTTTTATACCTTGGAAGAGCATGGGGTCCTTTCTCAAGAGTCGTCTTTGCTTACACCTATATGGACAACATCATCCTCCCTAAAGGCTGGTACAATTGGGGAGACCCATCCCGTGAAATGTACGTTTACTTCACTCCTCTCTCTTACCTCACTTTCGTTTTTACTCACATATAACCAAAGTATATCATATCAGTGGACTCCGAAGATTACAATATCTTGAAACACTAATGGACTATAAAACATATAAATTTTGGATATGAGTAAAACATAGTTTGGACGTGCTATACTTGATTATATATAAATTGTACAACACATTTCAGTCTAACTTTATAAAAGATGATCTCGTTGCCTCATCCATTTGAGAGTCCTACGTGACTAGCCCCACCACTACATCTTCCAACCGACTTCAACTTTTGTCTTTTTACAGAAAAACCGTTTTGCGTTTTGATAATATATTATACTTTGTATGTGCGCGCGTGCATTCCTATAGATATTGAAGTTTAACGGAGGCGTGCATAGTCTCTTCTAGTGCTCCAAAATGCATACATACAAGTCTAAATAATTTTTTTTATAAAAAAGTAAAAGGCAAATTGTGAAAGAAAGAAACAAATGTGCATGCAGGACGGTGTTCTATGGGCAGTACAAGTGTACGGGAACAGGAGCAAACTATGCAGGGAGGGTGGCTTGGGCAAGAGAGCTCACCGATGAAGAAGCTAAGCCTTTTATTTCTCTTACCTTTATCGACGGCTCTGAATGGATCAGACTCTAACCAACCATTACTCTCTCTTTTTTTCTTTTTCCTTTTTCATTCAATTAATAATGTACATTTTCCAAATAAAATGAAAATACATTTTTAACTGAGTTTTAAGCGTTCTAACCAAAATAAAGCCTTACTACTTGATCTGATAATCGGCAGGGTCGTCATCATGAGTTTTTTGTTGTTGAGGCTTTTCAAATTTATGCCGGTTTTAAAGATATAACCAGATCGCAAGTTTAATAGTATAGCTTAGTCAGGTCTGTCAGGATTTTAAAACACTTGTCCAAAATAATTTTCAAATTTTTTCGAATCGAGGCAAAAATGTTGTAAGAGATATCTGTTCAAAAAAAAAGAGAGGTAAATAATACAATTTAAAAAAAAATGGAAATAAGCATGGTTTTTTATTACCTTGTCGTCTTTTATCCGACCATCATATTTTAACGCTTTTAAGTAACTTCTAACCATAGCGCAATAAAGCTTATAAAACTTTTTTCTTTTTCACCAATCACTACATTTTAATGTCTCTAATTATACTACATTCTCTTATTCTCTTAGAGAACTTGTATCTTGGTCACCAGTGGGACTCAAAATCAATACAATAATGTCGTAATAATTTATTTATGTTGATTCATATAAACAGAAATTTGTATGCTACTCTCGGTGAAGATAATAACATAAAGTAATAGACTATTGCGAAGAGTATATGATATTGCAATTTTCTTTAGATTATTTGGGAACTTGTTTCTAAAAGTTTAGTAACATTAAAATCTGATGCTGCGTCTCCTAATCTTTGATAACATTAAAATTCTATGTGGCATCTCCTAATTTTCGATTTTCACATACCAAGTATATAAAATTAGTTTACTAGATGTAATTATAACATACCAAACTCTTTGAAATAATCTATTACTTTAATGTTATTTTCAATTTGCAAAGAGTTTGATGTAAACAAAAATTTGTATGCTAATCTTGGCGAAGATAATAACATTAAATGTTAAATGTTAGAGCATAATATCTTGTCCTATGGTAAACTGATTTTGTATATTTGGTATGTGAAGATCGAAAGATTATTTGATGCAACATTGGATTTTGTACCAGTTTTACACAATGTTGGTGTTCCATTAGCTGACATGCAATTTGTATAAGGTCATCATCACCCTCTCTTATATGAGAGCAATGCAAGTTTGTCTTGTCTTGATGTTTAGTTGTTTTGAGAGGTGTGGTATCATCTATTCAGTGTTTCGATTTCTCGAAGGAGAAATTTATCCCAGTTTGAGCATTTACCTAGTCCAGACTCCGGTTATAAAACTAACTTGAATATGTATCTCAGATTGCAAAATTATGTGAGATATTATAGAAGATAATGTTAGCAACATTTCCAATATACTTGTAATAAAAAACTAAAACACTTCCTCTTCAAAAGCCCATCTAAAGGCCCATCTAAAAGCCCATTATTAAAGCCCAAAATAGCACTAAAGCTCTTTCTCCTGTTTTTCCACCACGAAACCACGATATCCGTTCGAGCAGGGTTCAGTGAAAGTGCTACGAGTCACCGTTCAGTGAAAGTATCAGAGCAGACAAAACCACGATGCTCAACCACCTCACTCTCACCCGGAAAACACCACTCACGGCCAGTTCTCTTGGTTTTTCTGGTATTCACACTTCGTATGTCAATCGAGGGATTCTATCTGAAACTGGTTCGAGCAGGGTTCTTGCGTTCGGGTACAAAAATGGTTTACTGAATTGTGGTCGTATCAATTGGTCTGGGCGTTCCGGGACTGGGTTTCGGCATCTGGGTCGGGCGTCTTCGGTCTCAGGTGGAGGTTCAGGTGACTCCGGCGGGATTGGTGGCTCAGGTGGTAGTGGTGGTGATGGTTCCGGCGGTGGAGGTGAAGGCAGTGGCGGAGATGGAAACAAGTGGTCATTTCTGTCATGGTGAAGAATTCTTTACTTCCTCCTCTCTCTCTACTCTTTTCTTGTGTACAGATTGTTCTTAAACGCAAAATCGATTAAGCCTTTCTATAGTCAGACATTGGAAAAATTTCATGGATGTTACTCACAAAACTCTATTGTACTATGATTCCTTGCTTTTTGAATTATAAATATATATACACACTATGTGTTGCGTTTTGGCTTGATTATCTGTGGTGATGCTACAGGTACCTGGCTCTTCTCTCAGGTTATCCTGTTTTGACCAAAGCTGTAACGTCAGCAATTTTGACCCTCATTGGTGATTTGATCTGTCAGGTAACTCTCGTAACGGTGTGCTTGAATCTCAGCTGAAGTTTGGATTCACAGTATTCATATATATAACCTCTTATTGAAAAAGCAAGATTTTGCTCATCCTTGTTGCACTTCTTGGTTTCAGCTTACAATCAATAGAACCTCATCTCTGGACAAGAAGAGGACACTCACGTTCACCATCTTGGGCTTAGGGCTAGTCGGTCCAGCACTGCACTTCTGGTATATCCATGGACTTTTAATTTTCTATGTGCTGTGATATGCTCATAGGACACCGTCAAAGCTAATTTTACTTTTCTGCTAAGTGTTTGTTCATTTGAGGAGAATCAAATTACTTATGCTTATTCTCTACTTGCTTTCCGAAATCCGCAACTCCATTAGGTACTTGTATTTGAGCAAAGTGGTGACAGCTACTGGATTATCAGGCGCAGTTTTGCGACTTTTACTGGACCAGGTAGCAAAATCTTCCTATTTTTCGATTTCGACTAATTGCTATCTTGCTTTCCCGTGTGTTAACACCAATGTTTTTTTGTTTCTGCAGTTTATTTTTGCTCCTATTTTTGTTGGAGTTTTCTTATCAGCTGTAGTGACACTTGAAGGAAAACCATCAAATGTCATACCAAAGCTAAAGCAGGTTGGATTCGAAGCTAATTAACCTTCTTACTTCCACTAGAATGTTTTTTATCGGTTATTCTAATTGAATCCATGCATTGCTGGTTGTTTAGGAGTGGACGGGTGCAGTGCTAGCAAATTGGCAGCTATGGATCCCATTTCAGTTTCTTAACTTCAGATTTGTTCCACAAAACTTCCAGGTTTGATCTCTAAACTATGTAACAATATGAAACGGGAGTGTGAAAAAGAATACAACTCGGTGAAAGATAGATATGCTTCAAACATAATGACCTACACTCTCTGTTTCTCTCTTTATCGTCTTATTCCTCTAATTAGTATAGATTTCGACCCCGTCATCATCCAGCAAGAGATTATTAGGCAGGCGGCTTCATGTTGTTGTGCACTTGTTAATGAGCTTGAGACGAATTACACTAGAATGGCATTATAGCTAGAGATTGTTCGTTCACTGTCTCTTAAGATCAATCAATGTTTTATGTGTGAACTGCAGGTACTCGCTTCGAACGTAGTGGCTTTGGCTTGGAATGTGATTTTATCATTCAAAGCTCACAAAGAAGTTGTTTCGAAATAGGCAAGTCTCTTTACCTACACAGGTGTTGTTGGATTGTCATCGGCAGAGTTTTGGGGGCAGGGTTCTTGTCTGCTGATGCAAAAATGTTTGGTGTTTCAAATGATTATTTAGGACTCTGCACTTACATTTTTGTTAATGTCAAAAACAAGCTTGTCTTTAAGCATTTTTTAGCATGTGGCGTTATTGACTACTTTAAATTTCGTTCAACGTTTTGCTCTCCAAGATCATCAAATCCTTCATACTTATTAACTGAGCTGAAACAAAATTCGTTTAATAAGCTGAATTGTTATAGTTACTTCATATGAAAATCTTAAAATCTCTGGTTTCTGCTTCTTCTAAACTTGAAGAGGAAAAATTTAAAGTTCACGGACCAATCAACGACCCCTTAACAAACAAAAATATCAAAGTCTCAAACAGCTCCAATAATGCTTTTAGGCATGTGATGATGATGTATAATTAAAAAAAAAAAAAGCAAATGAACACAATTCCAATTGTGTTTTCGTTCTTCTCATCTTATTTCTGCGCTTTGTTTGAAGATCACATCCCAATGGTCTTTTGAAACTTTGTAATCTGGTTCAGGAAGATCCATGTCATCTGCAGAAAAAAGAAAACACGATCATCAAAACGATCTCAGAGACAAGACTGAAGATGATTCGTATTGAAACAGAGCATATGATTATCATACCATGACGTGAGGAGCGATCCTGACGCAGTAAACAGGGAAACCAGTGTAGAATTTGAATGGACCTCCTGCTTTAAAGGTTTGGATCACACAGTCGAGCGAACCCGAGTATGGATATTTACCGTGAGCGTCCGGTTGCATTTTCTGGATCTGAGTTTTGACATAGTCGAATGGCAGACTGCAAGCCGCAGCGAAGAAACCCGAAACAGCACTTGCTCCTGCCAACACAACCACCAAGCTTTAGAGATCCTAATAACGTAAATGAACTATAGGGAACACATGACGACAAGACAAAACTGATAAGAGAAGCTTACCTACGACCGTAGATGTCTCCCCCAAACCAAGATTGTCTCTCATGTATTCAGCACTTTGATCATACGATGCAAGCATCCCCATGTTCAAAGCCATAGCTCTGACCACAGTTGGCCCACAACCTTTCCACAGAGCCAAAACTCCTTCATCGGCGCTAATACGGTAAAGCGCATGGAAGGCACTGGTATAGTTCCTGCGCTGAGCTAACGGCAGAGTGTTGTCCGCTTGCATTCTGATAAGCGCTAAATCGGCTGGACTACCAACGCAAGCACCAATTGCACCAGCTGTCAGACCACATAGAGCCTTTTGATGCAGCGGTAGAGGCTTCCCTTCGTTAGCCTCACTTGCTTTCGCAGTCAGCATCCTGATAACTCATAGTGTGACACACCTTGATTAGTACAACAAAGAAGAGATGATGATTTATATATAACTACACGAAAGTATTCATATGGATGTGTTCAAAGGTAAACCCACAAATGATTCACTTACTTGAATGATCCAAGACGGGCTGTGGTGTAAGTTGCTTGCCTCAGCAAACCAGCCGATAGTCCCTATTGGAAAAATTTCAGTCAAATAAGCTCAAGAAACATTTTCATAGAAGAATGTTGTAGTTAGCAAGACAGAGCAAAGACTGAGTATCAGATCATCATATACAACTATGTGAACATATAAGAAACTGTTCATGAACATCCTACATAAAAACATGCCTCTCCAAGATAAGTAAATGCATCAAGCTAGACCTAATCAATATCCAAAACATATGATCTATATACCTTGTAGAAGGCACCGATACCCTCATTCTTCAACATGGTCGTGGTCACACTGACCGCAGATCCCTGACCTAGTTGAATCCTCACCTTCACAACCAGAAACAAGTATTAGCCCATTAGATTCACATCAATCAAAATCCTACGAACATATACACTGACATGTGATGCATTAAGAGCATAATTCTAACCAAAATCCCAGATCTGAGCTTAAACGCAATTGAGTCTGAAAATGTTCCGAGAAATGAATTTCCATTGGAAAAAGAAAACCAGATCTGAGAGGAAAAAACAAATCCCTAGACTCGGATCTGATGAACATCGTTTACAGATTTCACGTATTATCAGTATCATCAAATCAAAGCAAGAATTATACTCGTGGCGAGCTTATACATGAATATGCTGATACATAAACGTGTATCCAGAAACAATTACATACCTTGATCATGTCAATCGGCTGGATAACGCAGGTTGCAAGCATACCAGAGGTACCGCCATTGACGAAGGGCTTCACAGTGTTCCAGATACCAATTGGAGCAATTTTCTTCTCCTCCGCCATCTCTTTTTTGTTTCTCTCGAACGGACTCAAAAGCAACCAGAAGAAGAGATTCTGCGGAGAAAAAGAAATGGAGAGAGAGAGAGACTCAATTGGTGGAGAGGAAACGATGAAGTGTAGCTTATGGCCTTTATATATTAACAGTAGTACCCAACTGAACTAAACCGCACCAAACCCTTTGATTTTTATTTTATTTTTTATTTTGCATATTTTCGTATGAGATCTGAATCTAACATATTTTTGTTTCCTCACAATTTTTTTATTGGATAATTTGGACCTCCCTTTTCGGATTTAAGCAATCCTAAAGTATTAGAGTTATTCATTACACAATCACTTTTAATCTCCTTCAGAAAATTAAAACAATATCCACTTTATTGTGAATAAACGTAGATGTCCATTATCTCTTTTTTATTCACAACAATTTCTAGTTATAAAAATTGAAATCGTGAGTTTTTTTTTTTGGTCCAGTAGAATTCTTCAATTTGAATTGACCTTTTGTATATTTGTTTAAATAGGATTTAATTTGGCATTTTTCACGCCGAAGTAGCTAGTGGACCAATAGAGTTGTATTCTGATGCAAATTGATAATACTGATGCGCGAATATGTTTTTTATAAGAGCTGTTCATGAACAATAAGGCTGGTGTGACTGTTACAAACTTACAAAAAAACAAGAGGAAATAGATAGTAAATATTCTTCCCATGTATAAACATATGGAAAATATATTCTTCTTGTTTTGGCTTATCACGGAAATATTTTTCCACTTCACTCCTTTTGATTGGTAATTTGGTATAACAAATTTTTAAAACAAGAAGAATAGACTACATAGTCGATTAACATATTTCTCTTCTTCTTTTTTTTTTTTTTTTTTTTTTGGTCAAAACATATTTCTCTTCTTCGTGCAGAATAATTTTTAAAAATAAATTTCGTCAATTCTAAAACAGCTACATTGATAGAAAAATCTTTATTTTATATTAGAACAATTTTTTTTTAATTTGTCTTTAAATTATATACAATTCATCAGTTACCAAACAAACAGAAATAGACTCCCAAAAACTTTGTGCTTTGGGATCCCGACTAGGTCGAACATACTACGTAGAGGTCAGTACGACAAACACGAATGTGAGGTAAGAAGAACTAGGTATTTTCACCTAAAGAAATAATAGATATTGCAAAAGATACTGAAGGTTTGGTACAACAAAAGCTTGATAATGAACTCTGGAACTCACAATGGTCGCTCTACCAATGAATTGAACCGAGATTAAAAAAAAAAACAGGAAGGCGGAGGAGAGAGTGCAACGGAGATTGTACAGGATCAAAACAAACATGTAATCAACAAGAATCATAAGAAGAAAAAACACGAAAACGAAAAAACTTTTTGGTTGCGCATTGCTTGAGAGGAGGTGTTCAATAGTCTTCACCTTCATCTTCCTCGTCGTCTCCACCTTCGGCACCCACTTCTTCATAATCTTTCTCCAGTGCGGCCAAGTCTTCACGTGCCTCAGAGAACTCACCTTCCTCCATTCCTTCACCGACGTACCAGTGCACAAACGCCCTCTTCGCGTACATAAGATCAAACTTGTGGTCGATCCGTGAAAACACCTCTGCAACGGCTGTGTTGTTGCTGATCATGCACACCGCTCTCTGGACCTTAGCGAGATCGCCTCCTGGAACAACTGTTGGAGGTTGGTAGTTGATTCCACATTTGAACCCAGTTGGGCACCTGCACAACAAAACCCAAACAATTATTGTTTATCCAAAAACAACATGAAGGTAGAAACAAACAATAGCAGTAAGTTGTTCGGTTTGAAGATCTTACCAGTCGACGAACTGAACAGTCCTCTTTGTCTTGATAGTACCAACAGCAGCATTAACATCTTTAGGAACAACATCTCCACGGTACATCAAACAACAGGCCATGTATTTCCCGTGCCTTGGGTCACACTTGGCCATCATGCTAGCTGGCTCGAAGACGGCATTAGTGATCTCAGGGACCGATAACTGTTCGTGGTAAGCCTTTGCAGCTGAGATGACTGGAGCGTATGACGAGAGCATGAAATGGATACGTGGATACGGGACAAGATTGGTCTGAAACTCAGTGATATCCACATTGATGGCTCCATCAAACCTCAACGATGTAGTCAATGATGATATGATCTGGGATATCAACCTGTTTAGGTTCGTGTAGGTAGGCCTCTCGATATCTAGTGATCTCCGGCAAATGTCATAGATGGCTTCATTATCCAAGAGGACAGCTACATCGGTGTGTTCAAGTAGGGAATGCGTTGAAAGAACACTGTTGTATGGCTCTACAACAGCAGTAGAAACCTAAGACGAAAAGGCAAAGCATTAAAACAGAGATTCATCCTATATATTTATCAGGGAGAATGAGAATACAAACAGAACTAGAGAAACATGTAATGTAATGAGCAAGATGAAGTTACCTGAGGAGACGGGTATATGGTGAATCCAAGCTTTGATTTTTTTCCATAGTCTACAGACAAACGTTCTAGCAACAGAGATCCCAGACCAGAACCAGTTCCACCACCAACGGCATTAAACACCAGAAATCCTTGCAAGCCAGTACAGTTGTCGGCAAGTTTCCTCACACGGTCAAGGCAAAGGTCCACAATCTCCTTTCCAACTGCAATTATAATCAGATTAAACATTATGCTTAATCCCTAACTACTTAGAACTATTTAGAACAATTAAGAACAAGCAGGAAGTGGCTTCTCACCAGTGTAATGGCCTCTGGCGAAGTTGTTAGCAGCATCTTCTTTGCCCGAGATAAGCTGCTCAGGATGGAAAAGCTGCCTGTAAGTTCCGGTACGGACTTCGTCGATGACAGTAGGCTCAAGATCAACGAAGACGGCTCTAGGGACATGTTTCCCAGCACCAGTCTCGCTGAAGAAAGTGTTGAACGCATCGTGTGCAACACCAACCGTGGTATCACTGCAAATGAGTAAAACAAGGCTATTAGGTTCGTCTCTCAAAAAACATTTGGATCCATAGAAACAAAATGGAAATGGTGTTTAGGTCATACCTCGGCATCATGCCGTCGGGCTGGATCCCATGTTCGAGGCAGTAAAGCTCCCAACACGAATTTCCGACTTGGATCCCAGCCTGTCCGATATGAATGCTTATGATTTCCCTCATCTTTGCTCACAAAACCCTAATTCTTCGATCTTCTTCGGCGGACGGAAATCGAAGACGGAGATCGAGGAAATGAAGCGGTGAGCGAGATCTTCTTTTTCTTCTCTCTAATTTTTTCTTCGGCTCCTTTAGGTTTATGATATTTATGAATGGGATTTGATAATTTATTGGGGTCCGCTGAGTTGTGCCAGCCTGCTTTGGGTCCCACGATTTCGCTTTTGTCCTAATTTGGATTGATTTTCCAATATTGCCCACACGATTACAGGTCATGGGCTAGTTTTTTCATTTGTGGCTGGTAAAGTGAAAACCTAAATGGCAAAACCCAATTGAGAAGATTTGAAAGCCTGGATGGGATTTTCTTTTCTTATCCAAATATATAACACAAATTGTTGTTAAAATAGTGAGAAATAGTCCAGGTGTATGGAAAGCAATTTTAAGTATGATTTTGTTAATTTTGTCGAAATCAATTGATTTTGGAATTCTAGAGATTTCAATTTCAGTGATTTACAATATTGGTTTTGCAAACGTATACTCTCTCCGTTCCATATTGTATGATGTTTTGGATTTTTTATTTTATTCCACAAGGATTGATTTTCTACATTATATTTAATATATTTCTATTTCCAAGACAACTTTTTGGGTAAAAAAATATAAAAAATTAGTATTAAATTAATAAACACGCAAAAAGTACTTTAAAAAAGTAAATAATCATTGTTTTCTTAATATCTGTCAAACATCTAAAACATCATACATTCTGGAATGGAGGGAGTAATTGTTATGGTATTGTTGAGCATTCATTATGGCCTAAACCTATTGATGAATATGTTTTGTCAAACTTAAAGGCTATTTAATTTTAAGTAAGGGAGAACATATATTTGAATCCATGCAACGTACAACTAACCAAATTGGTTTTCATGAATCGACAACTCTCAAAATCTTAAACAGCTATTATGGTAAATGTGAAATTATCAAAAAGCACGCATTTGAGACTCAGGGAAGGCAACTTCAGAAAGTTAAGCATTCTTTGGACATTGCATTTAGGGTTGATGCATAATTAAGGATGCATTTTTGTCTCGAGGCCTGAGACAAACAACATACATGTTGCTAAGCTTGTTTGTGTTTAGGAGCGGTTATCTTCGGTTATACTCGGTTGTTACTTGGCTATGTATATGGACATCGTCTTTAAATGTTCAGCAGTTGAAGTTGTCACGAGTATATCCCCAATTCACGTTTATTGACTGAACTTATCTAACGAGCTAAAAGTTTTTAAGATGTTAAACAAATGGTTCAGGAATTAACGAAAATCTGCCTACGCGGATTCAATAGATATGTAATTATTTGTTTCGGTCCATTATATTTTTAAAAACTACCTAATCAGTTATCTATTCACTCGACTAAACCGATTAATCATTACTCCTTCCAATTAGACTGTGGATCCAGCTAAGTCAACTGATTTAATTAGTCCAGCGTGACCAATTCGTATGGACTGAATATATTCCATTTTTTCTGATCATTTGTTTCATTCACTTGATCAAGTGTCATCATTCATACCAATCGTAACTTAACCCCCCACTCGGAAAAAAATAAATGAAAACCTTTATTTCAAAATTTGAAGACACCACCATTTAAAGAGTCATGAATGAAGAAATAATGTGTAAGTTAATTATGTAATCTACAAAAATCATTAGAAAGAGAATCAAAATATTCCTAATATAGACAGCCTTCCAGATATTTAAAATCTTATTGCACTAGCAGAATATCCCTATTATTAAATTCATAACCCAAGAGTTAAACCACTAAACCGTAATTTAATCTTCAAAACCCAAGAGATCGGTTTGGTTCGATTAAGTTTTTTTTTGTTATTCTCCCTTATCAAAAGAAAATATCTACGGCCGGGTAAGTTAAATAACCGGAATTAAAATCAGAGAGCCGAGATCTAGATCCAGATCGAATCTCACGTATTTTGTCTATCCCAGCCCCTTAAGGCAGGCTGTCACAAATTGGCGGACCCCAACCAATTATCGAATCCCATTCATAAATAATCAATTTTTCCACCCAAAATAATGAAAAAGAAGATCTCGCTCACCGCTACATTTCCCTTTTCCTCGATCTCTGTTCTTCTCCCATCTCTCCATTCGCCGAAAACTGTCGAAGAATTAGGGTTTCTGTGAGCGAAGATGAGGGAAATCATAAGCATTCATATCGGACAAGCTGGGATTCAAGTCGGGAATTCGTGCTGGGAGCTTTACTGCCTCGAACATGGGATCCAGCCCGACGGCATGATGCCGAGGTATGACCTAATCGCCATTTCCATTTCGTTTCTATGGATCCAAAGGTTTTTTTTTGAGAGACGAACCTAATAGCCTTGTTTGGTTTATTCGCAGTGATACAACGGTTGGTGTTGCACACGATGCGTTCAACACTTTCTTCAGCGAGACTGGTGCCGGGAAGCATGTCCCTAGAGCCGTCTTCGTTGATCTTGAGCCTACTGTTATCGACGAAGTCCGTACCGGAACTTACAGGCAGCTTTTCCATCCCGAGCAGCTTATCTCTGGCAAAGAAGATGCTGCTAACAACTTCGCCAGAGGCCATTACACTGGTGAGAAACCACTTCCTGCTTGTTCTTAATTGTTCTAAATAGTTAGGGATTAAGCAAAATGGTCGTTTAATCTGATTATAATTGCAGTTGGAAAGGAGATTGTGGATCTTTGCCTTGACCGTGTGAGGAAACTTGCCGACAACTGTACTGGCTTGCAAGGGTTTCTGGTGTTCAATGCTGTTGGTGGTGGAACTGGTTCTGGTTTGGGATCTCTGTTGTTGGAACGTTTGTCTGTAGACTATGGAAAAAAATCAAAGCTTGGATTCACCATATACCCGTCTCCTCAGGTAACTTCATTTGCTCATTACATTACATGTTTCTCTAGTTCTGTTTGTATTCTCATTCTCCCTGATAAATATATAGGATGAATCTCTGTTTTAATGCTTTGCCTTTTCATCTTAGGTTTCTACTGCTGTTGTAGAGCCATACAACAGTGTTCTTTCAACGCATTCCCTACTTGAACACACCGATGTAGCTGTCCTCTTGGATAATGAAGCCATCTATGACATTTGCCGGAGATCACTAGATATCGAGAGGCCTACCTACACAAACCTAAACAGGTTGATATCCCAGATCATATCATCCTTGACAACATCGCTGCGGTTTGATGGAGCCATCAATGTGGATATCACTGAGTTCCAGACCAATCTTGTCCCGTATCCCCGTATCCATTTCATGCTCTCATCTTACGCTCCAGTCATCTCAGCTGCAAAGGCTTACCACGAACAGTTATCGGTCCCTGAGATCACTAATGCCGTCTTCGAGCCAGCTAGCATGATGGCCAAGTGTGACCCAAGGCACGGCAAATACATGGCCTGTTGTTTGATGTACCGTGGAGATGTTGTTCCCAAAGATGTTAATGCTGCTGTTGGTACTATCAAGACTAAGAGGACTGTTCAGTTCGTCGACTGGTAAGATCTTCAAATAGAGAAACTTCGCTGCTATAGTTTGTTTCTACCTTCATGTTGTTTTCTTGATAAACAATTGTTTGGGTTTTGTTCTACAGGTGCCCAACTGGGTTCAAATGTGGAATCAACTACCAACCTCCAACGGTTGTTCCAGGAGGTGATCTCGCTAAGGTCCAGAGAGCTGTGTGCATGATCAGCAACAACACAGCTGTTGCAGAGGTATTTTCACGGATCGACCACAAGTTTGATCTTATGTACGCGAAGAGAGCGTTTGTGCACTGGTACGTCGGTGAAGGAATGGAAGAAGGTGAGTTCTCTGAGGCACGTGAAGACTTGGCCGCGCTGGAGAAAGACTATGAAGAAGTGGGTGCTGAAGGTGGAGACGACGAGGAAGATGAAGGTGAAGACTATTGACACCTTCTCTCAAGCAATGCTCAACCAAAAAGTTTTTTTTCGTTTCTGCTTATGATTCTTCTTGATTACATGTTTGTTTTTATCCTGTACAATCTCCGTTAAACTTTCTCCCCCTTCCTGTGTTTTTTTTTTTTAATCTCGGTTCAAATCATTGGTAGAGCGACCATTGGAAGTTCCAGAGTTCATTATCAAGCTTTTCTTGTACCAAACGTTTATTATCTTCTTACAATGTCCATTTCTTTTCTTAGGTACAATCTTTTCTATTTGGACTTTGTAGAGATATGTTCTATTTTACATTCATGGATCCAAAATTACATGAATTTGATAGGAAATGTAAAAAAGGTTAGATCACGTTGGGCAGAAGAGTTGGGAAAGTGAAGGGAGATCCCAAATGGGGTCGGTAGGATCAAAAATCGCATACTCTGCATTCATGTTGTCATAGTAACCGCTAGCTCCATTCATTGCATATAAGGATGCAGATATCTGTCTTTCGATTTCAGCCAGACCCAAATGTTGATCGGTTGAGTTTGGACTGTTGAAATGTCCATGTGCTTCTTCCTCTCCCTGAGTCAAAGGAACCTGATGGTTGAATCCAGAGACAAGAGGCCAAGAGTAAGGAAGCTGCACACTTTCGGTTCCTGGTTGTAATATGACCGATGAATCAGGGCGGTACACATTATTATTGAGCGGCATCACTGTGGTCGTGGTGGTGGCGCTGAGACTAGTAGCAGTCGAAGTGTAGTTGATGCTGCATTCCGCAAAAGAAGAGACGGGTTTGTTTTGTTGTTGCTGTTGTTGTTGTTTCATGCTCTGCTTCTGGTGAAGGAGGTTCCTGATCTTCAAAGACAGTTGTGAGTTGTTTGGAAAATGGTTTGCGAAATTGGTGCGAGTGTTGGAACCACGTAGGAGACAGGCAGCTTCGTCGTAGGCTCGAGCAGCTTCTTCTGCGGTCTCAAAGGTTCCAAGCCACATTCGTATCTTCTGCGTCGTGTCTTTGATCTCTGCCACCCATTTTCCAGAAGGCCTTTGCCTAACTCCCACGAATTTCGTCTTGTTGTTGCCTTTGCTCTTCTCCTTTGTTTTCTGCTTCTGAGTTGTTTGATGTTCCATTTTTTTTGTTGGGGTATGAATCTGTATACAGACGTGTATATATAAGTATATATAGGTTAGTTTTCTTACTTCTGTGCTCGTATGTTTTGGGGTCAAGTCTTAGTGGGTGTCTCGTCTTTCTGAAGGCTTGTTCTGTTCTTGTTATTTTAGTGATGATACGACATTACGACAATGATTTTATATTAATGGGTTTTTGAATACCTGAGAATTATTCAGAGGTTTTCTGTTATGTGGGTTCCATGTATTAATGTCGTGCCTACCATTTTCTAGTTTTTCTAATTTATAAAAGAGTACAAGGGACAAATTTGATGGCTTTGTTTCTCAGCTTGGAATTGCGAATATTTTTAAGCGACAAGATATTACTGTAGGTTTTTTTTGAAGACTCAGTAAGCTTTGTATTTAGAGGGAGGAGAGGGCTCCATAAGAAAAAGAGAGATTTTTAAAATGATAACAAAAACTAAAGCCGACCAATATAAACTCTTAAAAAAACTATAATCCTGACAAAATCTAAAAGTTAGTGGAAACCCTCTCACAGAGCCAACAAGAAATATACATATAAATCTTAACATCAAACCGACAACTATCAACCAGAAAAATGGTGTCCCAAAGGTCTTTCTTCACCCTGTTTTGTCTCTTGGCAATCTTAATCACAGTTGCTAAAGGAAACAGCAACAGAAAGCTATTGACAAGTTACCGACCACAATATTCTCCTCCTCCACCCCCGGTCTATCGTCCTCCTGTTGCTCCCCCTACTCCGGTCTATCCACCTCCGGCTGCTATTCCTCCTCCTCCTCCTACTCCCGTCGCCTACAAATACTACAAGAGATCTCCACCTCCACCTCCACCACGCTCTAAAATTGGCAGAGTGTATCCACCTCCTCCTTCCGGCAAACCATGGTGGTGGTTGTTGAGGGGTTAAGAAGCATCCAAGCGGCTCACGAGAATACAGAGATTAATTGTCTACCATATATATATAATCACTAATGGATTGTTATCTGAAAGAAGTGTGCATGAAAACATCAATGGCGCATTAGTGTTGTCGTATCTTTGCTTTGACGTCTCTCAGTTTGCCGGAACTTACATTCCTTTTTTCCCTCGCGGTATTGTAGTGTGACTGAAGCTTCTTCGTTTAACCATTTTTTTTTATTGTATTGATTCTTTTCCCAATTTGTATATTCTAAAACTTCTTGACTAAACATCAAATGGACTTTATTAAAAAAAAAAATCAAACGGGCAGTCTTCGTTTTACAGTCTTCAAGAGATAGTTGATATTATAGACCACTTTTGAATTACATCAAGACAATTTTCCTATAAACAAATCAAGATAAAATGTAACCGTCATCTAACTCTAGTGACGTAAGATTTATATTACACTAGTATTATTCCCGTACTATGTACGGGATAAACAATTAATAAGACGAATTGAATTCTCAAATCTGAATTATTTTAGTTAACAAATGGTTTTGAGTAAAACAATTTTACAATCTAGACTTCAAGTTCTTAATAGTCAAAGAATATTTTACAGCATTTAAGAAGAAAGGATGTACAACTTTTCTTTGTTTTCTTGTTTGTAAACGTACATAAAATAATTTTATAACAATTTACAACTCTCTCAATAATAACAAATTTGCATCTGACCTCTTAATGGACTAACACATGAGGTGAATATAGATTGTTGAGACTCTCTTGTTCATATGGAGTCTTTCATCATTTTCATTCATCTTCAACCGTCATCCAATTTACTCTAAAACATATTTTACTCAATTTTTTTTTTTTTTTTTTTTAATCTACGTTTTCTTATCTCTTCCTCCTTTTCACTTCAGTGGCGAAAGCAACTGAGTCTCCAAAAGAGTTTAGATGAATTTTGTTTAGTAAACGAAGAAAGCAAACTTTGCTGAACAAAACTATAGACAAATCACATGTAATTAGTTGAGTATTTTCGTTGGAGAAAGTAAAATTTTAGCTTTCGTTCGAAAAAGATTTTAGTCAGAAATAGATCACTTACTTGGATTTTGTTGAATAACCTTCATACAAATTGTACCATGGAAACCTGAGAATTTTTGAAAGTCAGCCATAAAATTTCAATCGTAGAATAATTTTAAATAAGTTTCTAAATAAATCGATTGGTGAACTGCTTTTATGGTTCATTTAAATTAGATTCAAAACAGTTTTTTTTTAATTTACTTGGCCTAAGCCATTAAATGTGAAGAGGTGGAGATCGTGTCTTTAAAACTTGTTAACCATAATTCATGTGCCAATCAAATTTAAAATAATTATTTGATTTTGAAAATAGAATGACATTTGTCAAAATGTACAATTGTCAATTGACTTGTGCTTTACAAGTATAAAGATTTCATGTTACATGGCAAAAATCCTTTAGGGAGAAAAGCTTTACTCATGCCAAGGAAACTACAGAGGCTTGCAATTGCAAATGGGAGAAGAATGGTTTATAATGAGACTCCAACTTGTCGTCTCTTAAGTCTTAACCTTACTGCTTTTTCTTTAATTATTAATGATTTGAAGGGAAAATATGTTAGAAATGTTATCCAGAATTCAGTCGAGCTTCAATATGCTACGACAAAGACGCAAATAATATAACAAGATAAATTCTTTATTTAGAAAAAAGGCAAAGAGTGTCGAAAAAGAGTACAAAATCAACAATAGCAATGAGAGAAAAGAATAATTCCTCCAAAATTCCCACTTGCATTCAAAAGCCCAAAAAACAAACTCAAAAATCAAACCAATTCTTTGTGATTTGTTTCTCGTATAACTGCATCCCTCTCCAAAACCCAAGACCAATACCAAACATGTGTCTTTAAGGAATCATACCCAAATTCCCAATGACGGATCTTTTCACTGAACACTTTCACAATCACACCTTCCCTTCCTAATATACACTTCCTACCATCAAGATAGAAATTTCATTTTTTTATATCTTTTGAAGGATAGACCCATTCATCAACCCTCCCAAAAAAGCAAATGGTGAAAAATGCAATAATAGTGAACATATAAATGCAAAGGCAAAACAAAAATGCAATTGTAAACACATAAATGCAAAACTGATTGACTGGACGCTTTGAGGTGAACACTGAATGAACAAAGAGACCGGACTGGAAAGAGTTTAGGAGGAAAGCATGGTTTGGAGAGCGAGCTGCTGCTCGGGTTTCAGCGTTGACCATGTTGACGCCAACGCTGATGGTGGCAGTGTCTGCTGAAGTTGCCTTAGTATATTTATCATACGACCTGCTGTTTCTTCTGTCACCAAATCTTTCCCTGTAAGCACCTGTCCCACCCAACATATATATACAACATTGATTTCTCTATAAGTACCACTAATGCAAAGATCAAAGAATGAAACTCGTTTAAGCAAAGCGTGATTAACAAACCTCTGCAAAAACTGTTACGATTTTCGGAAGGTACTGGTTATTGGGGCCTAAAAGGTCCACATCTTGCCTGCAAGTTTATCATCAATCAAGGTCGTTTCAGATAAGTCGTCACAAGGAATGGAGAAAAAAAAAAGGTTAGAGGGCAACCCATTGCTTACCTCTCAACCATTGAGCAGAGCTGATCATGAACCACTTTGGCTTCAATGACATCATTACCTATAGGTAAACAGTTCAACCACGCGGGAAGTACCTAATAAAACCCAAAAAAAGTTAACTTGTGTGACCATCATAGGAATCACATGCATTCGTGCGGTGTAAGCAGCCAGAGATGGCAAAACCTTATTACTATCATAAAGCTACCTGAGAAGAATCGACACTGTCACGGTGAAATTGGCAGATCTTTCCCACAGCGGATACAGCATTATCATATGCCATGGCATATTCAGCCTGCCGAGCATTTGGCTGCTGTATCACAACATTTAATCTTGACAGAGCCTCTGTTGAAACATAAACGCGTGTTACTACTACTTAGGTGCAAAGCATGGACTGGATTAAATCCCCAAAAAGAAACTACCAGTGAGCTAAGGTATACCATACCTCCAACAAGAGGCTTGAATACAGATCCGCCAAACTCAGCACAAACACCAAGCCCATAAACGGCAGCCTGAAATGAACAAGAGAGGTCATAAGAAATAGAAATAGTACACGGCTCCAGAAACATTAGATTAACAGAACGCAGAATATACCTGTCGAACTTCTGGGCTCACGTCATTGCAAGCTTCCAGTACGAATGGAAGATAAGTATCATAGTATCTGGCAAACACATCATAGGTAAAAAGGACATCAGAACACTGATAACTACAAACCTACAATTTACAAAGATCCAGTGATTTCATTTACTTACTTAAAGGCAGCATCACGACATTGTTCTGCAACATCATCAAAAATGCATATAGCAATCCTTCTCTCTTCAGCTGTTTTATCTCTTCCCTGAACTCAACGAATACACATCCCAAAACCAACAATTAATAGCAAAACAGAAAACGCAAAAGCGAATTAACACTAATATTGTATCAGCGCCATGATCACAGCCACATATTTAGAAACTATATTCACCTGAACCAGAGTGCTAAACTTTTTTTTGGGTCAAACGAGTTAACTTTTCTACAATGTTCACTTGTAGAATATCAATTTAGTTAATTCATATACTCTCGACTATAGACATTCTCCACTTGGTATCATGCAGCATCGAAAATAGAAGACTCGAGTGATGAAGGCCACTTACCCACATAGGAGTTAAGTAGGAGGATAACTCATCGAAGAAAGGCAGAAATGAGGCCTTGAAAGTCTTAACCAGAGTTCCCAATATTTCACCGACCTATGTGCAGCCAATAGTTCAAGTAAGCAATAAGAGCCTTGAAGATAGTATAACTTCAATATATTTTCACTTGACAAGGGTCAATCACAAAAAAATTACCTGATCAAAAATTTCTTCCTCTTGCTCGTTTTCCTCTTTAATAAGCTCTCCCTCTTCAGCGTCAAAGTCTTCAGCATTGGCCCTCTCTCCCCTCT